GAGAAGAATAAGTTATTCTTAAAAACTAGCACTGCCTTTGGAATTGCAGATGCACTGCACTACAAATAACTTTTGAGTGGGCTAATTGTGACTTCTTTTCCTAAAGCATATCTCTGGGCTTTGGTTTTCTCTCTCTCTCTCCATCCCTCTCTGGGCTTTGAGTCTCTCACCACTTTTTACTTGATTTGTTCATGTTGTGTTCTTTAACTTGGTTTCCTATGGCTCCATTCAACATGTGCTTGTTTGTATATTTTTCAATAATTGAAGCATTGTCGTGTAATATCAAGATTCAAAGTTTTTTTATTTATTTATTTTGCAGGGTAAAATTGAAGTGACCATAGCAGGAGGAAGAGTTGTTTGGGAAAATAATCAACTGAAGGTTGCTCCTGGTACTGGGAGATACATACAAATGCCACCTTTTAGTTATCTGTTTGATGGAATGGACAAGAAGGATGCCGATTATCTAAGCTCTCTTCAAGCCCCAGTAAAGCGAGCCAAATCTACCACTTGAAATTTTTTAGGTTCCTTCTTTAGTAAAATTTCAACATTTTACTAGGTAAAAAACACAGAAGTATGTTAATCCAGTTTTCCTTTCAAAAATAAAGAAAAATATGTATAATATTGTACCGAAGAGCATCGCATGTATATCATAATAGATATATTTCGTGTTACCTTTTGCACTGATGTAATGTACATTGCTGCTTAGATTGTGTTAAAAGTAATTAGAGAAAGAGACAATAGCTCCAATAAGATACTGTACAATATGTAGCATACTCAAAATTCTCTCTAATATATTTTCTTTGATTTAGTTAGACGGTCTCTTATAATCTTTATTCCAATAATTTGCACCAATGTCCATCATTGAAAAGTATGAGCTCAATGCCTTTTTTATGATGGCAATTTTCATCTTATCAACGTATAAAAACAAAATAAGAAATTCTTCAGTCGTATATCTTTTAATAAATATGCAATTGTCGGTTTCAGTCTTTTTAAATTTTTACTCTGACTTGAATTTCTTATACCACTTTCGATATGTTTGTTCCAAGTCATATAAGCTCTTTTTCAATCGGCAAATCATGTCTTCTTTGCTTGGTGCTTAGAACCTTTCATGTTGTTTCATATATATTTCTTTTTCCATATCATTATCAAGGAATTTGACTTTTGATTTTTTTTCTTATAAATTTTTTTTCATTGTTGAAGTTTTTGTAAAAATTTATTTGAACAAACTTCTGTTTATAAGATAAAGAGGGAAAAAAAAAAAAAAACCCCTTCAAACTCGCACTTATTCTACTTATTATGTGGCTTGAGCTTTATTCTGCGTATATGTTTGCTACTGTGCTGTTTTGAAAACAACGAAGAAGCTGCGTAGTGTGAGTCTCTGCATTTGTTTATAGGATTTGTTTTTCTCACGTAAAACAAACTCTTCTTACACACATCATACAAAGGTATATCACTCATTTTTTTGTTTTTTATTTTTTTAAATAAATAAGTCCACACTTAATGTATCTATAACATGAGATTAAAATTCTCCTATTTATTTTCCCTTTGTTTATTCACGCAAATTCTGATAAGTGTGGTGTTTTCCATGCTTATCTTCTCGCTACATGTATTTTTTAAAGTACATAATTTAGACGCGGCCCTGCTATTTGATAGTTATCCTTCTCCAATTTTCTTTTGGGAATTTCAATATATATATTCTCCAATTTTAACTTACACTGGTGTAAAATGATCCTTACTTATACTGGTGTAAAATGATCCTGACTGGTCAGTCAGGATCATTTTACACCAGTGTAAGTTACACTCTTAATCTTATTCGTTGATCCCTTTTATATCTAAGGACTCAAATTTTTTAGTAATGTGAGCCATTAAATACAAATGAATCAATGGTCAAGATTGAATGTAAGACTTCTGATTCTTACATCAGCGTAAGAATATCCTACCCATATATATATAGGCAGGATACACCAGTGTAAGAATTTTAATCTTACACTCTATCTGAACCATCAATCTTACTTCAATCAAACGGTAGGAGATTAAGGAGAAAAAGTAAGCACGTAACCCATTTACTCTCCCCTGATTTCAATTTTTTTTTTTCTTTGACGTTGCAGCTTCTCCACATAACACAAACTCTTCCACCCCACCATCGCTCCTCCCCTCAACCTCCTTGTCGCCTCCGCTTTCGTATCGGCCTCTTTCGCGAGCTAGAGTCAGTGCCAAAATGGCACCTGACCCCTTTTTCTTTTCCATAATTTTATTTCTCTTTGTTTTTTCCTTTGAGTTGTAGCTTCTCCACACCCACCATCGTCCCCCCCAACCCACCCCCCAAACTTGGGTTTCTGGGTTTTCAAAAAAACCCTTGATTCTGTTAGAATATTAGATTTTTTGAAACTGGGGTGACAGAGCTATTGTAGCTTGTCATTCTCACCCACAAAAGGAGGTAACTTTGGGAATGTAGGAATGGATATGTCATTTTTTTGTTTATGCTAGACTTTTGAAGGTTCTTTGCAAATTTATCATTTTTAATTTAATGGGTGTTTTCTAAATTTTTCCTGTTTTCTTTTAATGGAAAAGTTTAACGAATTGTTTGTGTGTGCTGAGCTTGCAATGATTGTTATAAACTTCGACTCAGGGAAAGGAAGAGTCGTCAAAGGGCTAAGTCCACCATAAATTGCAACCTCTCCCAGAAACAATTGTTATGAGCTATAATGAATAATTTGTGTTATGATAGTTGTCAAGAAAATGGTGCAATTGGTTATTTATTGAGTTGAAAATTAAATATTTCCTTTTTTCCTTTGTTGATTTATGGAAGTTTTTCAGGATGAAAAGGAAGAACCGTAGATACAAAAGAAAGAATTATTCAATGGGAATAAAAAATTGTTCTAAGCTAGATTTGACAATGGGAAACTTTTCACGACGAGAATAATAAAGAACTAGGCAACGGCCTTAGGACAAAGACATACATTTCATGAATAGTTTATAGACGTAAAAATTAATTTATTAGTTTTTAATATGTACAAAAAGACTTAGGATGAGAGGCTACAGAAAAATGCATGGACAAAATAATCTGCATTGCATTCTCCTTCAAGTTCGCTCCTCAATAATCTCCTTTATTTGCTATTGTTTTTTTTTTTTTTTTTGTAATAAAGATATTTGCTATTGTTTTTACCTCATGGAAACATGCTGCAAATGTCATGAACTCGTAAAGATCCTTGCTGTTAACGAAACTCATATCTTGAGAATTACTGGCTTCTAACCCCAATTAGAAGTGTTATAATAAACACTCGATGATCAATAATTATAAGCCCCAATAAAATTATATGAAACCGTAGTTGTATTTTGGGGTAGAACTCTGAATCATGCTGGAAGTAAATTACTTTAAAATTTTCATATTCTACAATATCAGTATCCCCACACACAAAAAATGCCAAAAGACTGGATGGATCCATAGTATTAACAAACCTCAAGTTGGGGTCAAAGGCTGCATCATTTATCAATTAATAATGTGGAATGAAAAAAGAGAAAAAAAAAAAACCCAACTCTATCATGAGAAAATATGATTGGTCCTTGCGAAATCCTCAAGAAAGGAAGAATGGCTATTTTCTATGGTGAAACTTAATTCTAATCAAGTGCAACGAATTGTAAAATAATTTCAAAACTCATGTGGCCATAATCAAAAAAATGGGTTACTCTTGGAGAAGTTAAAAATGATAAATTTGCATAGAACCTTCATAAGCCATTAGCGTAAATGAAAATGACATATGCATTCCAATGTTCACAAAGTTTCCTCTTTTTGTGCACGAGAATGAAAAATCAAGATAGCCACATCACCCAACTCTAAAAAATCTAGAATTAATCCAGCACTTTTTGAGAGCCTAACTTGTAAATTCAATAGCATGAACTCAAAATCATAATTTCTTTTCTCATTATTTTTCTTAATACCCTCGAAGCCTTGTGACACCGACTCCAGCTCACAAAAGAGGCCGATGCTCGTGGAGAGGTTCAGAGAGAGTAGATTGAAGTAGGATTGATGGTTGAGATCGAGTGTAAGATTAAAACTCTTACACTAGTATAAGATGATTCTGTCACTATATATATATATATATATATATATATATATATATATATATATATGGGTTAGTTCATTCGGGCATGTTTTAGAATTGAAGTTTTAAACTTTTCTCAAATATAGAAATTTTTTAATATGATCCAGGACCACCATGATCATAGACCAATTTTTTTCTTCCTTCTCTTTACTCAACCTTTTTTTCTTTTTCTCTCACCTCAATCTTACCAAAAATATTTTCTCTCGGAGCACATAAACTTCGCTCCCAAATATAATACTAAGAATGATTAAATATATATTTTTATTATTATTTATTTAATTTTCTAACATCAACTAAGCTATCAGGATTAATAATAAAGAAATATAAGTGTGATGTTGTTTGATAAACAAAATGCTTCCCGCAAAACCTTCGAAAAATAGTGAGGCCCGCATGGTGTTGTGTCTTGTGCATAAGAGAAGAGTTTCGTACAAGAGGAGACTCAAAATACCCTAGGTAATATCACTAAGAAGTTATAATTATATTTAATTAGTACTTTTTATTTTCATTCTTATTGTTTTATTTTCACTGCTATCTCTGATACATCTTCGTTAATTAATAATTTGTTATTTCCCACAAATAAATTTTATTTCTTATATATATAAAAATACGTGAAATTTATATTTTTTTATCTCTCTATTCTTATTATATAACCTCATATAAAATCTATATATAAAAAATAATTTTATTTTTTATAACATACAAATATTAATTCCTTAATTAATACCATTACCTATGTCATGCCGGAATTATTTTAACTAAAACAGATAATTATGCCCGAATGCGATGATTAACGTGAGTTAGCCACGTTGACTGAGATAGCAACGTGCCGCAGTTCAATTACAGTGACTGGTTTGAAAAACGGAATATAATAAGAAGCAAGAAGGTAGAAAAGAAGCATTTGAGTGCAGTGGTGAACTGAACTGAATGGTGAGTGAGTTCGAGTGTTAGTGATGGGGTTCAGATCACAAGTCCTTCGTATCTTGTTTCTCATCTTCTTCATCATCACTCCCTCTTCACTTTCTCAGTCTAACCAGGTCACTTCCCTCTCCCTCTCTCTCTCTCTCTCTCTCTCTCTCTCTTTTTGAGTTGACTTTCACTGAATTCATTTGCTTTACTTGTTCTAGGTTTTCTTAGAGTTAGATTTTCGATTATTTTAAGCATTTAACTAGTGATGATCATTACTGAACTGATATTTTTATTTCATCTTTGTCTTCTGGAATTCATTCTTTTCGTTTTTGAACGATTCAGTTTTGTGATGCTGGAATTGGATATGGAGACTCCACGTGTGGAACTGGAATTCCATCATCGAAGCTGTTGATCAAGGGGGGCACGGTCGTCAATTCTCACCACCAACAGGTTGCTGATGTTTATGTGGAGGATGGAATCATTGTTGCTGTCAATCCTGATATCGGGGTATTCTTTTTATTATTATTTTTCATTTTTCTTCATAGCTTAGCTCCACCAACACTCCTTTTTCTATTGATTTTATTGTTTTCTGTTTTTGCTGCTGCTGTTTACTAGATCATATGTTTGCTGCTGTAGGCATGCTTTGATGGCATTTATATATGCTTTATGCTTGACGATATATTATTTCATGTTAACTGCCTTTTTTCAGTGAGGTTGCTCTTTTTGGCGCCTCTAGAGAAGTGCTTTCTAGCACATTGAGTTTCTCTTACTTTCTGCTTTGTTCCTTGTGTAATTTCCACTGGCAGGTTGGAGACGACGTGACTGTGATAGATGCCACTGGCAAGTTTGTCATGCCAGGTTAGGCCTTAAAATTTCTATCTAACACCTATAAAATAGTTCACTAGTTAATATCTACACGTAAACTGCAGAGATGCATCAGGTCCTGCTAGAATGAATGCGATAGATGTAAGATCAGCACACATAAGATCATGGGATGATACAGATCTGTCTAGTCTTTTTCAATCTACTTCAAAATCTTGTGTAAACCAAAATTTTGGTCCTAAATTAGGAACTTGATGCACTGGATTATTCTGTTACACGCCTACACCATAGGAAATTGGAAAATCACCTTGATGATATCACTTGCTGTATGCATGGAAGTGAGTTAATATTAAATTCCATCACCTTGAGTTCCAAGTTTTTTTTTTTTTTTCATATAGTGTGAGCTGACTATTGGAATTCCTACTTATGCCCTTTGCTCTTGTTTGATCCACTGTCAATGTTGTTGTTTTAGTCTCCTCTAGTCCTGGCCTGGATATTTTCACAGTATTTGGGTGTGAGACTAGTCCTGTTTGGTGTACTGAGACTCATTGTTAAATTCCTTTCAACCTACTTTGGCATCAAACTATTTTTTTTGTTTTTTAATCTTACCTGACAGACTATGAATGCATCTTTTCGTTAACTGGCAGGGGGCATTGATCCTCATACCCACCTAGAGTTTGGGTTTATGGATTATGTAATGATAGATGACTTCTTCAGTGGTCAGGCTGCAGCATTAGCTGGTGGGACAACAATGCACATTGACTTTGTTATACCAGTTGATGGGAGTTTAACAGCTGGTTTTGAAGCCTATGAAAAGAAGGCAAAGAAGGCTTGCATGGATTATGGTTTCCATATGGCTATTACCAAATGGGACGAAACTGTTTCAAGAGAAATGGAGCTCATGGTCAAGGAGAAAGGTTATACTTTTTTTACTTGTTGCGTTCTGATAATTTGGTTGATCATTCAGAAATAAACCTTTGGATGAGTTCTGAGGAATTTATTTTGGGTAGTACATCTATGTTTTCCAATTGCAGGTATCAACTCTTTTAAGTTTTTCATGGCATACAAAGGAGCTCTTATGATCAATGATGAGCTTCTTCTGGAAGGATTTAAAAAGTGCAAGTCCCTCGGTGCCTTAGCCATGGTCCATGCAGAAAATGGAGATGCTGTGTATGAAGGGCAAAAAAAAATGATAGAACTTGGAATAACTGGTCCTGAGGGGCATGCTCTTTCAAGGCCTGCAGTGGTAAATTCTCAATTTTTTCTTCTATAAAGAATCTACAGAATAATGGAATGCAAATGTTAACCACTGTCTGGTTTCATTTTACCCTCTTCATTGTCTTAACAAGGTATAGCATAGATGATTTTCACTTCTCATTTTTCAACCTTCCCTTTTCACCCCTGCCAAGTGCAGTTTCAGTAGGCTTCTGCATAGTTTATTGAATGTAGGTCCAGTTACTTGAGCCAAATTAACTGTTTTTAGCTGCTGGTGTCAAAATTTGCATACTTCTAACCACCCTAGTTTGACATTTATTGTGCTCAGTTTTTCATCTTTTTTGATGAACCACATTTAGTTGTTAGATTGATTACTTGTTTTGTATTTGTATATTCTGTGATTACTGTAAA